GTGACACAGCCTTGGCTGACCCTCTTTTCACTTCCTCCTTACCAAGCTTGCCCATATTATACACGTTCTCGTCATTCTCATGTCTCTGCAGACAGAAAAGCAGCGATCCCTTTCAATGCTAGGTCAACACCTAGTTCCTATTGCTGCCTTGCGCCTCGTCTTGCCCGTAGGTCTCGATCTCTCTTTTCATCCGTACAATTTTATGCAACTCTGCCTCGTTAAAAAAATTCAGTGGTGTGGCTTCCACCCCTGCCCTTGCGAGTTCTCGATTTTTGATAATCCATTCGTGCCTGATTACATTGGTCAATTGCTGAAACCAATGACTGGGCGTTGGCCCAAACTCGTCCTCTCATCTGAAAGCCCCATCGCCCAGTTGGTGTATCGGAGGCCGCCCCTCTTCCCTATGCCTTGAGATCTCATCCCTTTTATCCCCGATGGTTGATTTCTATGACTTCTCGCACATCCTCCTCCTCGTCCTCCTCGTCTTCAGTCTGTATGGGGCTATACTCATTAGCAAGGTTCTTTGGATTGTAGGTAAAAGGGATCTCTGTCCCCGTCCCATACCCCTCGTAACTGCCGTGACCGCTTTGTCCTTCAAGCAGGCCATCCCTTTTCTCCTCGTCCTCCTCACGTTCGTCGCGCATACCTTGTCCCCCCTCACTTTCCCCATGCCAAGCCTAACGTGGTTCGCCCTTGTTGGCCCCTTCCTCGTTAGAGACCCGAACCTTATCACCCATTTCTGTGTTGCCTCTTTCTTCCACATTTGCCCTTTCCTTTTTGCCCTCACTGTCAGATGATATTTCTATACCTTCTCCCTTGCGGAGGGGAGAGGGTTTCCTACACAAGCATTTCCTTTTACCCCTGCCTACCACTGGCCCGCCCATGAGCCCAATGTAGAATTTTCTCTTCGCTGTCCTCCTCCCTTGGCTTGGTCCAGCTTCTTCCCCTCCGACAGGCCTGTTGATTGCCCCGCTGTCGTTCTCGTTGCCGAATTCCATTTTTGTCTTTACTCGTTTTACTCCTAAGCCCTGTATAACAAAACAACACGCCTCCCCCCCCTTAGGCCGGTAGACATTCCCAAAATGCACCCAGTATCCCTCGCATCACGCCCTTTTTATACATGCGAATGCGTCGTTTGTGATGAGCCCATATTTTTTCCATAAAAAACTATGGTACAATGCCCCAAACATCCCTTCCCGTTGTCACACAAGCCAGATATTGCAAACCCCTAAGTCATGCTACCTTTCAACCCCAGCCAGTCCAAGCCAAAGCACCAGTCCCAAAAAAATGATAGTTCCACGAACATGGTCAGAGACAAACCATAGTGTGGGCAAGGCTGTGGTTAATCTTTAGCTTGTGGCTCCTCTGTTTCCTTATCTTCGGCCTCCTGAAGCCATTGTTCCATTGGGTCCCGACTTAGAAACCTGACCAGTCGTTGCCCCGGGAATGACCCTTTCAATCCAGTTTCATCCAAATCTTCCAGTTCGAAGGTGTTCAGTCCCACCCGCTTGGCGACCCGGTAGGGGCCTTTGAACCTCCTTCCCAACTGTCCCAACCAAGTACTTTCTAGTGCTGAGTTCCTTAGCAATACCATCTCCCCCACCTGAAGTGGCTCCTTTCTGACATTCTTAACCTGGTCTCACCTTGCTTTGTCCCTCATTAGGCTGTCCAGCACCCGGCTGGCGATGTCTTCCACGACCTCCTCATTCTTAAGGATTTGTTGACATTTTGCCTCGATTAACTCTTTAGTGGTCATTTGCGGATCATCATTTAATCTATTGCAGGTAGGTACCAAGGCTTCCACAGGAAAGTCGATCTCTCTTCCGTACCAAAGTTTTGTCGGGATACATCCTATTGTGCTTTTAGGAGTCATATTCTCTGCAAAGACAGCCTGCTTAAGATACCTAGGCCAGTTCCCCAGATGGTCTGCTGCGAGCTTTGCAATCGTGTTCTTCAAGGTTCGGTGCCTCCTTTCCACATGTGCATTGGCCTCAGGGTGATACGGCTCGATGAGTTTGATCGGAAAACAGAGTCTCTTAAGCATCCCGAGTACTTCTTGGTTCACAAATTCCGTCCCATTATCTGCTATAAACCTCCTGACGAACGGATGCCTTAAGTAGAAGTCTTCTATCCAGTCCGCCACACTCCTCCCTGTCTTTTTCTTGAGGGCGACTGCCTCCACGAACCCACTGAAGTTGTCTCACGCATCCAGGATATACCTGTACCCATCCATTGATACAGGCATGACCGCAAGGTCGAGGTGGACCAGATGTCCCAACCCTAGCACCCGCGTTGGTCTAAGCGGCTCGAAGACTCGTACCGAGCTTCGTTCTTGGCAAATAAGGCAAGTCTGGCAGTATATGGCGACCATGCCTGCCATGCCCGGCCAGTAATAGAGCGGCGTTATCTTTGCAAGTGTTCCTTTGGACGACCGATGACCTCCAGCTAACCCGTCGTGCATTGCCTGGATAACGTCTACTTGCCTAGATCTTCCGCACACAACCCTTCTGGGCATAGCACCTTCCTCCCTTCGGAACAAATGCCCGCCCCTTAGGACGTAAATTTCGGTTTCTTCTCTTGCCTTAACACTGACGTCCGTAGGTTGTTTGTTTCCTACCAACAACAAACCGATCTCCCAAAAGAGCCCTTCGTATGATTGGACACAGAAAAACTCCTCCCCGTCCTGGCCCCCATCCTTTCCTTCTTGCATCTGGTTTACCACCCATTGCAACTCTTTCCTTTCCCAAGATTCCACTAAGCTCATCATTGCCTCCCGGCCTCCTTCGACCGCCATTGCTATTAGCTCCTCTTTCGGTCCTACTATCGCTCCCCATGAGTCATTTTCTTCTCTGCGTCCTCGAGTTGTAACTGGTCCTTCTCTAAGTTCTGCTACTACGGCAGGTGCCCCCTTCTCCAAAGTCTGGATCATTAGTTCTCCGGATGTGCATCCCTCGCTCATCATTTTGTTATCCACCGCGAAAATCCCTCCTTCGTATTCGAGGAAGGCGTCTATGGGCTCCGCATCCTCCATCCCTTCGGGAGTGATGCAAACCCGACTCAGCCCATCTCCCTTGTTGCGGATTCGAGCAATCCGTTCGATCTTGTAATCGAACTGCCAGATGAATCCTATCCATCTCCCTACCGCCGGATCTAGGCCTGTAATTCTTTAGAGCTCCTGCGACATGCCTATAATTCTTTAGAGCCCCTGCGACATTCGTCGGATCGATCCTTAAGATGAACCGCCTCCCAAATAGGTAGGCCTGGAAGGTCTTAAGGCAATGCAGGATGGCTTGGACTTCCTACTTGAATTGCGAGTACCGCCGTTCTGCGGAGTTCAGGGTTCTACTTTCGAACCTAATCGGCCTCTCTTTTCCTCCCTCATCCCTTTGAATCAACACACCTCCTACGGCCAAAGGTCCTTCATCCGTCTCTAGGATGAAGGGTCGTCCCACTTCGTTATTAAAACAAGGCGCGGACAGGGCGACTGTCTCAGATGTCAATATGTCATTGAGCCTTTGGACAGCTCCTTCTCGCTCCTCCGTCCAATCCATGGTTCCTTCTTCCTTGATAATAGCCCGGATAGGCTCAACAATCTTGGCAAAGTTCTTAATGAAGATCCTCCAAAAGCCGACTACGCCTAGGAATGCCCTTACCTCCGTCGTCGTGCGCAATGGTATCGGCCATTGTGATATCTTGTCGGTTTTTGCCGGATCCGGCTTCCTGCCGTAAGCACCGCAACAAAATCCTAGTATAGTTACCTCCGGTATTACTAGGATACTCTTCGGTCCACTAGCCATAATGTTGTATACTAGGAACCGTCGGAGTAGATCCTTGATGTCCTGCAGGTGGTCCCACACAAAACGTCAGATCCCTGGCGGGACTTATGTCTTGTCCTTCTCCTGCGCGCCTTTGATCGGATTGTCATCGATGTAAGGTTCACATTTTTCTGGGAACATTTCCCCGGCCACAGCGAGCATCCTGCGTTGCGCTTCGACCACCTCGTTTGTGAATCCCATAGGTGTCACTTGCATCTGTAGCTGGCCTACGGGGTTATGCATAGCGGTGTATGGCCTGTCCCGAACATCCAATGGAAGCTGGTCGTACCCTGAGTACAGATCTATCAGGGAGTAAATGCTCCGACCGGCGTGCGATTCTGCTAATAAGTCAGCCTGAGGTAGCGAGCCAGCATCCCGGATGGTTACCGCATTCAACTTCTGCAGGTCCTGAATCCACCTTAGTGTCTTGTTAGGCTTCCGAAAGACGAACCACCGATTTGCGTATGGTGATGCAGTAGGCTCAGCAACGAAGGAGCCCATCTTCGCTCGGAGAAGGTCTGTTACTTCTCCTGCTATCCCAAATTCATAGGATGGCCCCTTATCATTCCAGCACTCATGTTTTACCATGTGGATTCTGACCGGAGGGATCAACTTCGCATTCAGTCGTCCCTTCTAGTGATCACTAAAGGCAAATGCCAGGTGAAACTCCTGGCAGGTCCTTTTGATCAGGCGGGTTTCTTCCTCCGTTAAGAACCCGTCTATCCCTATCTTCATTGTATCCGCTACATCATCTGGTATCCGATGTCCCTCCGTCGCCCTTCTTTTTCGGATCACTCGAAGGACCTCTTCCTCCTTCTCCATAGCTTCTTCCTTTGACGTCTCTAGCAGGATCGAGACCGGTTTTGCTTTCTTCCCTACCGGCTTGTACTTTCGAACACTTCCTTCCGGAATCTTTCTCCTAAAAACTGAACAGTCGGAACTGCCCCCGCCGCCTCTACGACCCGTGGTTGAATACTAACTAGTTTCTCATTCAGGCAATATCCCTTTTGCACCTCTCTTTCGAACTTGGCCAAGGCTGCCGAATCCACTCCTACCTTGTGGTATCTGAGGACCTTGATGAGTTGCAATAGATCGGGAATTTCGAGTGCGATTTTCGGCACGTCTATGTGTACTTCTTTCTGTTTAGGCAAGCTAGCACCAAGTTCGACCTCTGACTCCTTTTCTGCTACCATAACACCTAGGACTTCGTCCTCCTGCCTCCTCTTCTTCTGGGGCAGGCCCATCTTGATTCACTCCTTTTTGTTGAATGCTTCCTCAATCATGATTTCTACCCTTTCTCTCATACCCTCCATCCGCGCGAAAGCCCCTTTCCGCGTGCTATCCTCGAACGACGGCGACCATGTTGCCAATTTTCCCTTCGGGGGGTCTCCTCCCGTTCCAAGGAGTCGGAGGAGCTCTCCTCGGCCGGTCACAGGGTCCTCTATGTCTACCATGTATGAGCCATCGTGCAAGTGCATGCCTATCACCTCTACGTTCGCGCACCACGGTCTCCCGTTGATTATATCGTGGTCCATTTCCTTCATTACGGTCATCCGCTGAAACGACCAGATCGATTCCCTGACCCCTGCCTTCACAGCACACTTCGTGACGTACTCAGCGAACGGGATTTCCCCGCCAGGTCCCTGGATGCTCCCTGTTACTTCCTTGTTCACCGTACATCCCGCGATCGTTGCGAAATATCTCCTTATGAGAGTAATTTCTGCTCCCCCATCTACTAATGCGTCGGTATGATGACTTCCGATCTGAATTTTCAGTTTCCCTACGGGCAGCGCATGAAAGCTAAGCTTCGTCCCGGGTGGCGATCTCATGACTTCGCCACCCTCTCGGTCGGGCAAGCTCAAACGAATGTCTGCAAAGGCCTTTTCGAGATCCTCCAAGTCCCCGTGACTCCTCTGAAGGTTAGCCACTTCTTGCGGAGCTTCCTCCTCCCTCTCCCCTTCTGGTAATTCGGGGTTGTCGCCTATTTCTACTCGCCTCCGAGTCAACAGTTGTCTGAGCCCTTTGAGCAGCCTAGGGCTAGCCTGCAGCATGGTTTGAAAAGACACCGACACCATGGTTCCTAGTAACTTGCTAATGGTGTCATCGAGCTCAGGCAAGGTTAAGATCGGGATTTGATACGTAGACTTCTTCTTAGCGGCGGTAACCTTGTCCGCAGGCTCCTCTTCCCTAAGCTTCCCATAGACTTTCTCTGGTTCCTCGGCCTCAGGCTCCGCCTCGGGTTCGGAGCTTCCGGCGACCTCCTCCATAATGGTGTCACGGTTAATCCTTCTCCCGACCGTTCCCAGTCGAGTGGTTGCGCTCACCCTATCACGTCTGTGGCTTTCCAAAATAAAGTTGGTCTGCGGCCTGCGCCCCCGGAGCTGATCCCAGATGATCTCGCCCACCGGTTCGGCTTCTACGGCTGTTATTTCTAACCCGTTGAGCATAATAATGGCTCGCCGCATCCCTCCTGGTGAGTTCCAGTTCACCCGTTCTCCTTGTCGTCCAAATATCTCCCCCTTTAACGACCTGGTACACCTTCTTTTAAGAATATCATGGTTGAGCTTTGGGCATGCGCGCACATAATGTCCTATCGCGGTGCAGTACTTGCTTTGCTCGTTAGTAGGATATCTCCGTCCGTATCCCCGGTTTGCCACACCTGGCAGGACCACAGCTTCCTGGGGAGGGAGGGCAGGTCAGCATACTTGCGCTTGCATAACCATTAGCGCGCCTTCCATCCTTTCAATTTTATTGTCGACCCCGTACACCCGTTCATGTAGACTTTCAATCCCCTTATTTACCTTGTCGCCCGTCCTACCGGTCAGATCTATGATCTCTCCTTCCTTGAGCAAGACCAACGTTTCCGTTACTACCATTTTCGCAGCCAAATCTGTTACCGTGCTAAAATCAACATCCCGCGTGTTTACGAACTTGCTCGTTTGTTGGTAGGCTGGTAGGATCTTGTCTTTGTCGAACTCGGAGAACTGCCTGAGGAAATATTTGCTCATTATCCAGTCCGTGACCCCGGGGATCCTTAGTGCTACTAGAGTAAATTCCCGAAGGAAATCATTGTACGTTGCGAAGTTCTTTCTCTGAACTGCCGGTAGGTCGGCCTCCGTTGCCATTTTCTCCGCTGCTAGGTACTTCCTCATCATCACATCCCGGGTTTCCTTCCAAGACCGGCTTGCGGCTACAATGGTCATTATGTCCCGTCCTAGGCTTAACGACACATGTTGTACTAGGTGGTTCATCTTTTCCTACTGTCCACTTTAGTAATGCAGCTAGGTTCTCGTAGTCGATCAGGAACTCCGTGATGTTTGCTCCATCGAAAGTTAGCTTTTTCTTGGCGTCTGCCAGATAGCCTTGATTTTTGTTTAGTGCTCAAGCGAGGGACGACACTATCTTCTTAAGGCCGCCCTCGGAGCTGCTGGCCTCGCCTGCCACACTGTTATCCAGGCTCTCCTTGCCGGCCTTCTGTCCCTCCCTGGTTTTCATAGTTCCTTCCGGGTCAAACCATCCTAACAGTTTTTCCCTAAGGCTCCAAAATCCTTCGCATCCTCACGCTACTGCTGGCGTGATCGGCACGCGGCTAGCCCTACTATCCATGGCTGACGGAGTCGTAGCCTTTTCTGCTTCCATTCCCGGAGAGTTCTCTCTCTCTTTCCTTCTCTTGTTCGGCATTCCCCCACGGTCACTACCTTTATCCCCTTGTCCCGTCCCACCTTGGCTGGCTTTCCGTTCGTCCCGGGGTTCCTCCTGCAGAGGACCTTTTTCGTTCCCAGTCATCATTTCCTCAATCAGTCTTGCCTTGTATTCCACGGTCCTCTTGTCTATCTCGGCTAGTTTGCGCCTTGTGTCCACGACCCTTACTTTCTTAGGCATGGCTCCTTCCGAGTTTCGGGGGCTTGTCCTATCCTTATTTCTGCCTTCCCTGGTCCCCTGGGTCCCTTGCCTGCTTCCCCCGACTTTCCTCGAGCTTTCTCCTGTGGAGATTTCCTTCCGGTTCCCTTTGGTACCATCCAGATTTATCGACTCTCTGTCCTTCTGCCCCCCTTCGCTTTGCGCGGCACTGCCTTCTAAGCCTGGTTCTCCTTCACTCTTACGGTTATCTGTTTCCTCTTCCGTTGCCATTTTGCCTAGTTCTGCATAAGCCAAAGAATTCCCAGGACACACGCAATGCGAGGTTTTTAGGTTCCCTAGGCTCCCAGCTCTGTTGGCTTATCTTTATAGTCTCCTTTCTTAAAACCGTTTCCTGATTGCCCTTCCTTAAGGAGGAGCCACGACTGGCCCTGCCGCCCAGCCGAGCTATGAACGTGACTGGGCTTCCTTTATCACAAGCTCATGTGTAGTGCCCTTGTCCCGTCGGCCGATGCGAGGGAGTCCGGGTTAGGCATCCTGCTAGGGGAAGCCTTCCCGAGCAGCGTTTCCCGTTTTTTACCTTCCGGTTTATGGTCACTCATTAGGAGTCTACCCCCTTCTTTGTTTTTCTAGTGGGTTTTAGCCATCCGGGTCCGAGACCCCTTTCTTATTCCCATCGGCAGATTTCCGTATGCAGCGAACTATACTGGATCTGCCCTATTGGCCTGCCTGCGGATCCTAGTCCCGCTCGCGCCCTCGTGGTTCTTCCGGTTCGGTCGGCTCCTCGAATAGCTCAACCACCCCTGCCAAATAGCTCTCTCTTATCTCGATCTCCCTTTGGATTATGCGTTTGTGCCCTGTCTGGTCTAGCCAGGGCGCACAAAATATCAGGATGTGGATGACCTCCAGTAACTCGTGTGCCCTGTTTCCCCAGAACGGCCCATGCCTCACGGCAACATCATGGAACATCCCGATGGTTAGAGAGGAAAAGTGGTCTGCCCACATTATTGCCGTGTCTGCCAGCTCCCGCGCCCTTGCGAGGCTCCCGAAGACGAGATCTATCATAAAACGGGGGACCCGGCATCTCAGCGGTGTGGTTGGTGCTCTGAATTCACACCATCCCCTCATTTCCACCCGGGTAAGTAAGCCTACGTTCCTTCTACCCTTGACTGATTATCCTATCCGGGTCAACGTCCAGGCGGCCCTTTGAAAAACCGGTGCCAGCTCGTGACCTTGTGCTATCTCTACCCCCAACGAGTGTCAGCCGATCTCAGGCAGATACATGGTCCCGGTAACTTCCAAATTGGAAAACAGATCGTCCCCGGGTCCTCGGTCGAGTCTTATCCCTGTCCACCGACATTCTACCAATATGAAGGCGGCGTCCCTCCCCAAAGTCACAGCCCGCCATTCTATATCGAACCCCCGATAAGTTGAACTCGACGGGAGGGATACTTCCCAGCGTCCACCGTTATTCCACGACGGTCCGGGGTACCGGAGTTGGCGCGGCATTCGCACACGGGCCTGAAGTTCCATATGCTCACATCTTGCTGCCATGGTTACCTTGGTGATTTCCTGCATGATCCACATAGAAAGTGTTACAGCCAATCCTTAGAAACCGTCCACCTACTGCCCCCTTGCCCTTCGCGTTTTCATTTCTCTTTTCTAGTCCTAACTATCCTTCTATACCTCCGGGAGCAGTAGCCTCTTCTGGCTGTTCGTACAATCGGTACAGGTCGTCTATGTAGGTCGCGCCCCGGCCTACCTCCCACCGGATGACTCCCCACAAGGCCTCGTCATTTATTTGTGGGACTCCCGACCTAGTATTTATTGCCGCTCGTAGAATGCAAAGCACTTCGCGGCCTTGTTCGTCCTCGAAAGGCCCCATCTCTAGAAAGGTCCGATAGTATTCTCGATACATTAATGCTTCATCAAAATTTAGCCTAGTTACGACAGTCACCGCCTGCTCCACTCGTTCTATGCCCCCCATTCGTCTTAGCAGGAAGGGTGGTAGACTCATCTGTACGACCTCACTAGGCAGCTCGATAACCCCCGTCGCAGCGACATTTACCTCCGCCGTTACGTCATCTCGTTCTGGTTCTGCAAACTCAAACCCCTCCCGCCAGGTTATTTGTCATGCCCCTTCGAACATTCGCACGGGGTCATCCTTGGAAGCCAAAGCAATCCCAAAGGTCCGTCATCCCTCTTTCGATAGGTGTAAGGATCCCGTCGCATGTACACGCCCTGGACGATTCAAGTCTACACCCCCAAACTCCCCTCTCGCACGCCATTCCAGCTCCACTACTATGTACACCGTATCTTCCGCCAACTCTACCCCCACCCAGTCCATTACCGGATTGTCTACCGTACTTCTTGCCGGCAGGCTTATTTCGACCCTGCCCTCTGATGTTCTTGGTGGCAGGATCCCACGAGGTCTATCCGTCCAGAACGTCATTCGTCGGGCCATCTCGCAATGTCTCCCTTCCTGCTTTCTTAGTCCGATTGCTGCACCCACCGAGATTTCATGCTTTTCGTGTTTTAATATTTCAACCCTCCCGACTTATCGTACACTGGTTCTTGCCGCTATCCCCAACTCATACACGTTCAATTCTACGCGACCCCCATTTTCCAGTTGCTGTCACTTCCCCCTTGTTTCGATCCTTATGCACCATCTACGGCCTAATGTACACACTCCCTTTCTTATGTTACTCCTTACTTCACAAACACCCTCCATACTCAGGCCTTTCGTTGTGTTCGATCCCTTGGCCTCATTCAGTCGAAACACAGTACCCCAAATAGTTTAAAAACGTCATCTACGTAGGAGGGTGCAGCCGCCACCTCCCGGCTAACTATGACGTCCCAAGACTCCACCTCTACCTCTAGGCGGTCATACCTGCCTATTCTTAGGACGATGATGACTTCCTCGACTTTATCTCCGTTGAAGGGCCCATATTTCAATGAGAGCCTATAGAACTTCTCAGTCAACCAGACACACTCTATATGCACCTTTCTCATGGAGTCGTCTACTTCTAAAATGTGCTCAACCCCCCCAAACCACTCGGCTATGAATTCCGGTACCCAAGCGGTTATCCGTAGACTTGGAGGTTTGAGTTCCTTCCATCCTCCCATCACAACTCTGCTACTAACTTCGTCCCATCCCTCGTTGGCGAACAGCTTGCCCTCCTTTCGGGTTCGGGCCTCTGCATCCCCTAGAAGCCACATCGGGTCCTGTCCCATTGCTAACATGGTGCAAAACAGGTGCATTCCATCCTCAGAAAGAACAATCGTTCCAACTGACTCTACCTTGCCTTCTGCTATATCATCCCAACCTTCCTCTTCCCTTATCGGGTTCCAAATCCGCTCTATCCATACATATGACAAGTCCCGGGCAACCTCAAACCCAATCCAGTCGCGCGTGGTCCCTCTCCATCCGTTCCCTATTGGTATAGGCATTTATATTCCTCCTCCAAGTCGTCGTGGCTCCAAGCCTTTGAAGGGGTATTCCATCA